CACCCCCCCATCCCCATCCTCCTCCCTCACCTCAGGGACCGCAGCTCCTCCACCAGGGGCAGGTGGGAGATGCGGACGTGGATGTGGCTGGCGATGCGGTCATACTTGGGGTACATGGCCAGCACCACCTCCAGAGCAGCCTCGTCAAAGATCTGCAGCAGCTCGGCCGGGGCCTCAGGCAGGAAGTAGGCCAGGACATGCTCCCGGGCGGCCAGGTCCTCGTAGTTCACCACCAGGCTCTCCCGGTTTTCTACAGGCGGATTGGGGGGTGGAGGGGCTGAGTGGGGCATGCTGGGGCCAGGGAGGGGACCCCCTTGCCACAAGGCCTGCCTGAGGGGAGGGGACCCATGCCTCATCCCAGAGCCCAGAGCCATGAACTTGGAATGCCACAGGACAGAAGCCCATGGATAGCCCTGCCCCACACGGGAACGGCAGGCAGTGCAGGTACAGGGGACCAGGCCTGCGTGTCCTGAGCCCCGCCCCCCAGCCATGTCTGCTGATTCCCAACCCAAGTCACCCTGCAACGCAGAGTGCACCTCGGTGCCAGCATGTGCTCAGGACACATGGGCTCTGGGTTCAACCCCGAGAGCCACAAAATGAACAAGTAAAAAGTAGAGGAGTAATCCAGACTTTCGTTAAAAACAAAACAACAAATTCGTGCCCGCTTTTAAGAGTATCAAAAACAAATGCCTTGGGTCCCCACTGTCCCAGGCCGATACCCACAGGTGACATTTCCTGTGTTCCTTCGAGTGAGACCCCCCCACCCCTTTCAGGACACGTCACTGAGTGTCCGAGCAGGCAGGATCGGTGTGCCTATGAGGTCAGTCCGAATAACCTTCCGGAAAGGGACACCAGGAGGCGGCTGGGTCCCAGTGACCGTGCCCCACCTTTGCACATGTCACTGATGCGCTCCTTGAAGACGTTGTGGCCATGGCTGTCCACGTGAGTCCGCAGGAAGTTCTTGAAGCGGTGGTGGATCTCCAGCCGGGGGCCGGCCATGCTCACCCACTCCCGCACGGAGTGGCCCTTGAGGTCTTCCAGGTTCTCGATGCTCTCTATCATCTCCTCGTCCTCCTCCGCGCCATCTTCCGTGGCCCGCTCCACCTGCCGGCGCCTGCGGGCAGGGCGCTCTTCCTCGTCTTCATCGCTGTCTGTGCAGGCAAGGAAGCCTGTAAGAGCCTTTCCCAGCACCATCTCCCCTGACCCCAGACCCGGCCACTCAGCACACTGACAGCCACACCCAGACCAGCGCGGCACGCAGACAGGCAGGCCTACCGTACAGAAGGCCTCGCCGCATGCGGCCCAGGCCCCGACCAGCCTCCCGGTCCCGTTGCCGCATGGCCCGCTCCGCCGCCTCCCGCTGGCTGGCTGTCAGCTCCTCCACGTCCTCCTCATCCAGCGCTAATCCCTCGGCCTCGTAGGTGTCCAGCTCTGGGATGGCACGGTAGTCCCTGAGAGAGCCCCCACAAGGCAGTTAGTCCCCCGCAATTCCACCCAGAAACTGGCCAGCCCCATAGGCAGCCTGGGCAGGCCTGCGCCTCCAGGAACGGAAGGCCAGAAAATAGCCACCGAGTTCCACGTAAGTTCTCTAGACACTGTGGTGAGTAGCACCCCCATTTGAACGTGGGATGCCTGTGGAAACACCCTTCTAAAGTGTCCAGGATGGAAGGAAGGAGTAATTTAGGTGGGGGGATTTAAGGTTTCTGGGATTTCAGTCAGGTGACAAACATTTGGGTGAGGTGGTCACACCTCCCCGGTCTCTGGTGAGGTGAGGCTGGGAATCTCCACAAGGCTCCGGGCACTCCTAAGACTTGGCTGGCGCACTACCTAGTGTGTCCCACCTGCAGCCAGGATCAGGGCAGAAGCAGTGTTCTCCTATGGGCAGACCCACAGAGCCCCAAAGGGCACTGGCTACAGCAATGGCCTGGCTCTGATTGGGTAAAGTGCATGTTTACTAGCTGGAAGTCAGCCAATGCCAGTGAGTCAGACTCCCCCACATAGTGTGCTGTGGCTTCCTGTCTGAGATCGCGCCTCCTATTGGATGCATTCCCAGGGTACACATCTCTAGCAAGTGGAGCTTGTCCAGGCTCAGGGCAGGGTTAAGAACCTTTCATCTGCCAAGGGCCATGTGGATATTTATTTGTTTTTTGTTTTTGGTCCAGTCGTAGGGCCTGAACTCTGGGCCTGGGCGCTGTCCCTCAGCTCTTCAGCTCAAGGCTAGTGCTCCACCACTTGAGCCACAGCGCCACTTCTGTTTTTTTTTCTTTTTGCTTATGTGGTGCTGAGGAATCGAACCCAGGGCCTCAGGCATGCAAGGCAAGCGCTTTAACCACTGAGCCACCTTCTCAGCCCCCATGTGGATATTTATAACATAGCTCGGCTGTACAAAATGATCAACACAGGCAGAAGTCCACCTGCCTGTCCTTTGATGTATCACACGACCTTAGGGACTGGCCCACGGGCAGGTTTCCCACCCGCGTCCGGGTCTCCAAACGCGGCACCTTCAGTGGATCTGCACTGTAGCTTGTGACCTGTCTCCCTGACACCCCAGGTCCACACTACACTCAAAAGGCCACACACCACCAGATCCATCCCAGCGCCTGAGCTGGGCTCCCTGCCAAGCTGAGCGTGGAGACCAGTGCAAAGAAGATACCTCTCCATGCCATCGCCAATGAGCTCTTCTCCATCCTCTTCCTCCTCCACGGGCCCCTCGGTGCCCAGGAGCCCCTCAGACTCATCCTCAAACGGAGGAAGGTCCCGGCCAGGGCTGGAGGTCAGGGCGTCCGTGCGCCGGGAGCTCCGGCCTGGGCTGGAGGTGAGCGGATCATTGGCTCGTCGCCGGCGGCCAGGGCTGGAGGCCGCAGAGAGGGGCTCGGAGGACTCCTGCGGGAGAAGCGGCGGGTCAGGCACGGGGGGGGGGGGAGAGGGGGGCACGGCTCCGCCCCCCCCGCACTTCCCAGGCCCGCGTTCGCCGGGCCAGGTGGGTCACTCACGGCCTTTCACCCGGGAAAAAGCACGGAGGCCACGTCGCTTTCTGACCCTATGGTCCTGCCCTGGGCGGCCGCGGCGCCGTGGGCACAGCACCCACGCACGGTGGGGCGTCCCGGGGTGCGGGAGCCGCCAATCGAGGGCTGGAGCCGAGGCCCGGGCTCAGCCCAGCACCGGCGCCGCGGCGGGACGGCGCCCGGCCGGCACGTGCGGGGCGAGCGCGGCTGCGGGCCGGACCGCCGCATCCCCGCGGCCCGGGCCGGAGCGGAGGGCTCGCCGCGCCGGGCTCCCGCAGGGGCGCGCGAAGCCGCCGCACAGCCGGGCCCGGGCGCGGGAGAAAGCGGGGCCCAGGCCGGAGGGCGAGAGCGCGGGGGACGCCCGCCCGCCCCGGCGCCCGCCCGCCCCGGCGCCCGCCCCGCACGCGGCCCCGCGCTTACCGCCATGACCGCGCCGCGCCGCGTTCTGATCAGCACTTCCCGCCACCGCCAGATTTCGCGCGAAAAGCGGCCCACGTGACGCTCGCCAGCGTCATGACGTTTGCTTGCGCCGGGCTGCGAGGGAGTCGGCCACGCCCGCGCCGGCTGGAGTCCGCCCGCACTTCTTGGAGCCCCGCCTGCGCGCGCCGAGGCCCCGCCCACATACCCTGAAGCCCTGCCCGCGCCGCACAGAGACCACGCCCACCGCTCCCGGAGCCCCGCCCTCATGGAGACCGCGCCCACCGCTCCTAGAGCTCGGCTCGCGCCGCACGAAGACCGCGCCCGCAGCTCCTGGAGCCCCGCCCTCATGACCCCGCCCACCGCTCCCGGGGCCCCGCCCTCATGGAGACCACGCCCACCGCGCCTGGAGCTCGGCCCGCGCCTCACGAAGACCGCGCCCGCAGCTCCTGGAGCCCCGCCCGCCCTCCGCGCCAGCGGGGCCGGACACGGCGTGAGCCCCGCCAAAAGCTGGACGCGGAGGCGCAGCGCGAGCGGCCGAGCACCATTGAGCCGGGGCGAGTCGGGCACCGCGCCAGGCCCCGAGTTCAAGTCCCAGCCCGCTGCACCAAAGCAGGCGGAAACGTGGCCAAGAAGGCCTGGGACGGGGCTCGGGGGCTCCGGTGTCCCCGGCCACCCTGTGCTCTGACGCCGGGTGGGCCCGGGGCTGCGTCGGGGGACGAGGAGGCCTGGAGGATGGCGATCTGGCCGAGGGGTCCTCGTCGGGCCAGCTTCCCGCGCTCTGCGCGGCGCGGCCCGATGTCGCTGCCCGCACCAGCCTCGTCCGGCCCTGCCTGTTACCTAGAAGGACTTCCTTTTCCCGCTCCCGCGGGCAGGCCCGGCCTGGGCCCGGCGACCGGGCCGCCCTGCCCGCCCGGGAGCACGGAGAATGGACAGGTGGAAAGCCGCCCGTCCCCTCCGGAAGTGTGTGTGTGTAAACACCAGCACGTGGCCGGGCCTGCGGCGCGGGGACGCGGCGTCCCGCCCGCACGACGCCGGCCCGCCTCGAGGGCGGCCGCACGCGGCGTCCTCCACGCAGGACTTCCGGGCCCCGCTGCCCTCCCGGCCCCGAGGCTCCTCGAGGCGGCCCGCCGCGGGGGCCCCGGCAGCGGAGGGCGCGGGGCGGCAGGTGGGGCATCCGGGATCGGCGGGCGCGGACCGGGCCCGCGGTCCCGGTAAACACCCCGGGCCGCTTCCCGCCGCGCGTCCCTGCGGCCTCTTTAAGAGTCCTGCGAGGTCCCGCCCCCGAGGGACGTGATTGGCTGCCTCGGCTGGCCTCGGCGCAGGCCCGCTGCCATAGGCTCCCGGGGCCCCGGGGGCGGGCCCGGGCGCCTCCGGCAGGGACCGGGGCTGTTTTCGCCGTCGGCTCCGGGAGCACCCGGCGCAGCCTCTGGGTTGCTGGTGACCGGAAGGGCCGCTCGGAGTCCTCGGGCGGGCGGCCCGCGTCCCGCCTACCCCGCCGGCTCGCTTCCGCGGGGCCGGGCGCCGCTCCCGGCCGCCGACTGGGCGCCGGAGGCCGGAGCCCCGCGGCCCGAGCGGCGCCGCGCTGGGGCCGGGCCGGGGCTCGCAGGTAAGGGCGGCGCGGGGCGGCGTCCGGGGCCGGGGCTCGCAGGTAAGGGCGGCGCGGGGCGGCGTCCGGGGCCGGGGCCGGGCCGGGGCTCGCAGGTAAGGGCGGCGCGGGGCGGCGTCCGGGGCCGGGGCCGGGCCGGGGCTCGCAGGTAAGGGCGGCGCGGGGCGGCGTCCGGGGCCGGGGCTCGCAGGTAAGGGCGGCGCGGGGCGGCGTCCGGGGCCGGGTCCGGGATCGGGGCGGCGCGGGGCGGGGCGGGGGCCCGGCACCCCGGCGGGCGCGGGCGGGCGGCGCGGTGACAGCTGCAGGCTGGGAAGCCCGAGGGGCGGGGACGGTCACGTGGGCGGACGGGGGAGAACTCGGCCGCGGTCCCCGGAGTCGGGTCACCCCCCCCCCCGCGTGCCCGGGATGGTGGCCCGCGGGGCACGCCGGGGGGCGGGGGGAGGCCCGGCCTGAGCCGTAGGTGGAAGGATGTGTCTGGAATGTTCCTGGGGGGAGCCGCCCTTCTGGGTGCGAGGATCTCCGGTTCTGGGAGGCTGGGCGCCTTCCTGAGCTGTGGTGCCCGGCACAGCCAGGGGCTCCCCCTGCCCCCCCTGCACCAGCCTGCCCCTGTGCCAGGGCCTGGAGGCCGGCCCTCCCCACCACAGGACCCCTGTGCCAGGGCCTGGAGGCCGGCCCTCCCCCCACAGGACACCTGTGCCAGGACCTGGAGGCCGGCCCTCCCCACCACAGGACCCCTGTGCCAGGACCTGGAGGCCGGCCCTCCCCCCACAGGACACCTGTGCCAGGACCTGGAGGCCGGCCCTCCCCCCACAGGACACCTGTGCCAGGACCTGGAGGCCGGCCCTCCCCACCACAGGACCCCTGTGCCAGGACCTGGAGGCCGGCCCTCCCCCCACAGGACACCTGTGCCAGGACCTGGAGGCCGGCCCTCCCCCCAACAGGACACCTGTGCCAGGACCTGGAGGCCGGGCCTTCCCCCCACAGGACACCTGTGCCAGGGCCTGGAGGCCGGGCCCCTTCCCTGCTGGTCCCCGTCGGCCCCGGGAACCGTGGGACCCATCTCACACCCCCCAGCGTGGCAGGTAGCAGAAGGCTTGGGCTGAGGCTGGCTCGGAGCCTGTGCCTTGGCGTATGGATTGTCATTTCACGCAGTATTTTAGGGATGTCTGCACACCTCCAGTGGCTGGTTAGTGGGTCAAGGGGCCTCCTGGCTGGAAGGGGGGGTCTGGTGCAGATGTGTAGCTCTGGTGCCTGGCCGGGCCCCTGATCCCCAAGTGGAGAAACTGAGGCACAAGGTGTGCCTGCCAGCTGCCGACGGGGCCTGGGCTGCGGCTGCTTGGCCTGGTCCTCAGAGGGGACAGGAGGCAGCCTTTCCCCTGATCCCTTCCGCACTGCATAGCAGCAGGGCTTCGAAAGGGCTCTCCAGCCTGAGAGACCCCCAGCCTCCCTCCCACAACTCTGCCTGTGTGTGTCACCTGGCTGAGCCTCCTGGCAGCCTTCTTAAGCAGGGGCCGTGCCCTGGGCACTGGGGGGAAATGCCCCCCCCCACCCGAAATCAGGCCGGACGTGCTGCCCAGGCCGCTTGGCGTCTCAGCTGGGACCATGGGAACAAAACTGGCCTAGGCAGAAGGGGGGTTGGAGGGTGAAGGTTGTGCGAAGGTGGAGGATTGGGGTGGCTATGGCGAGTCTAGGGAGTTCCCCAGCTCAGCAGGGTCTTTCCGGTCAGCCCCTCCACTCTGGCTCAGGTTCTAGTCTGTGGGTGGGGGAGGCATCCTGCTGGGCCAGGCCTAGGTCATGGGCACGTTTCCTGTGCTGTGCGGGGCTGCAGCCAATGATCCCTAAGTCCCAGAGGCAGCAGGGAGTCTTGGTCAACCCCAGGAAAGCGGGTCCTCGTGCGGCTGGCTCAGTGCCCACACCAGCCCGGGCTCCCGTCTTCTCTTGCCTGGCTGGTAGCCGTTGCACCCCACCATCTCCCTGGCTCCATGCTGCACACCTCCGCGGTCTGGCACCTGAGCAGAATCACATGGCCCGCGAGCACACCGCCCATCTGACCGGCCTCTCCCCCAGGCACCCGGCTGGTCTTGCTCTTGAACTCAGCTTGTCTGCCGCAGCCAGGGCTTGGCACTCGCTGCCCTACCTTCAGTGCTCTGGGGCTTTCCAAGGCTGTCTCCTCATCTCTTGTGACTCCTCTGTCCAGAGCAGCCCCTTCAGGCTGGGGGCTGAAGCCGGGATAACAAGGTAGATAACAAGCTCTGTGCCACGCTGTGTGCCGGCAGCTGAGATGGGCAGGAAGGGCCCTGGCCCTTCCTCTCCGCTGTTGTCCCTGGCGCGTGCTCTCTACCCCGGCCAAGGGTGAGGGTGGCCGCTCCTGAGCCCACCGTCATGTCCACAGTGCAGTTTGAGAAAAGAAAATGTCCTGACAGGAACCTGGTGCCCCTCACTCTTGTCCAGTAACCCTTGAATCCCAGCCAGGAGGCTGAGCCCTGTGTGAGGAAGCAGCGCGTGGCTCGGCGGGGAACGGTGGGTGTTGGGACCCCACAGCCTGCCTCCTTCCCACCATTCTGTCTGCTCAGTCTTTGCTCCCAGGTGTTATGTCTGGGAGTTTGCTTCTCAGATGCGGGGTTCCCGCTGGCTTGCTCCTGCCCAGGCCCTGCCTCAGGACACTGGGCCGGGACCCGGGTGTGCAGGGAGCTGCCTGGCCCTCTCCCCCAGGGGGCACCATTCCCCTCCTCCGGTCCCCACGGCTCAGGCTGGGGTGCAGCCAGTGGCCTGAGGAGAGGACAGGAGGCCTGAGCCCAGGGTTTGGGCCACCCCTGGCTTGTTTCCTGTCCCTTACCCAGAGGTGGCCCTGAGTATGTGTCCTAGCCCAGAACTGGGACTGTGCCCCACCTCCTGCACAGGGACAGCGCGAGGGCTCCGACCCCACTGCCCCAGCAGGCTGCCCGGAAAGTGCCTGTGGTGCAAGCCAGCTGAGAGCCCCCCCTCCCCGCAGTAATCCATCCTCAGGCTGGGAAGGCGCACTCCTCACTGCCACCTAGTGCTGAGTGGCGTGAACTGCTGCCTGTGTGCGCTTAGGCCCCCAGGGTCCCTGCAAGTCCCCTTGGCCAGCCTGCCCTGTGGAAGGCCCTGCCGATGTCCTCAGTGTCCTCCGTTCCAGCCCCTCCATCATCCCTCCCAGGGTGACCCCCAGGACTCCAGTGACGGCTCTGCGTTTGTTCACGTTTCCAGGGCAGCGCAGGCCCCACAGAGTGTGTCTGCCCTGCTCTAGCGCTGTGCACCGTGGTCACTTTGGGGCCTTCAGAACGTGGCAAGGGCCATGCTGCGAGGAGGTGTGGGCTCTCCCCGCCACCCCGCCCCGGGTGCTGAGGCACCCCTGTGCCTCAGGAAGGGGGCAGGCAGCATGTGAGCTGGCCCTGGCCGGGTTCAGACGGACAGGGGTGCTGAGTGGGTGTGTCCAGGGGAGGGGCTGGGGAGGCGGGGCAGAGTGAGGAGGGGGGCTCTGGCCTCTGGGGAACTGGAAACCCACAGCAGGCAGGCGTGGCCCAGGCAGGCCTCTCGACCACAGGCTTCTGTCTGTCTTCACAGGGTCCTTGGCCGGCATGATGGATGCCCTGCAGGAGGTGAGTTGGGACAATGGGAGCACGGCTCCACCCCCGCCCCTGGCACCGAACATCAGTGTGCCCCACCGCTGCCTGCTGCTGCTCTACCAGGATATCGGCACCTCCAGGTGAGAGGCTGCCTGCGCTGGGCTCCCTGGGGGTGGGCAGTGAGCCACCGTCCTGTGTGAGCCCATTCCTGCTGGGGTCGGAGGCAGGGGCACATACAGCCCCACAGGAACCCCATTGTGGTGGGCAGGAGTGCACACGGCCCACGCTTCAGCACCCCAGGGTCTGGTTCTGGGGGCAGGTGTGCACGTGACCCCATGCTTCTGCACCCCAGGGTCTGGTTCTGGGGCAGGTGTGCACACGGCCCACGCTTCTGCACCCCAGGGTCTGGTTCTGGGGGCAGGTGTGCATGTGACCCCATGCTTCAGCACCCCAGGGTCTGGTTCTGGGGGCAGGTGTGCATGTGACCCCATGCTTCTGCACCCCAGGGTCTGGTTCTGGGGGCAGGTGTGCACGTGACCCCATGCTTCTGCTCCCCAGGGTCTGGTTCTGGGGGCAGGTGTGCATGTGACCCCATGCTTCTGCACCCCAGGGTCTGGTTCTGGGGCAGGTGTGCACACAACCCCATGCTTCTGCACCCCAGGGTCTGGTTCTGGGGGCAGGAGTGCACACGGCCCACGCTTCTGCACCTTCCCCAGGGTCTGGTTCTGGGGGCAGGTGTGCACGTGACCCCATGCTTCTGCACCCCAGGGTCTGGTTCTGGGGGCAGGAGTGCACACGGCCCACGCTTCTGCACCTTCCCCAGGGTCTGGTTCTGGGGGCAGGTGTGCACGTGACCCCATGCTTCTGCACCTTCCCCAGGGTCTGGTTCTGGGGGCAGGTGTGCACGTGACCCCATGCTTCTGCTCCCCAGGGTCTGGTTCTGGGGGCAGGTGTGCACGTGACCCCATGCTTCTGCACCTTCCCCAGGGTCTGGTTCTGGGGGCAGGTGTGCACGTGACCCCATGCCTCTGCACCCCAGGGTCTGGTTCTGGGGCAGGTGTGCACACAACCCCATGCTTCTGCACCCCAGGATCTGGTTCTGGGGGCAGGTGTGCATGTGACCCCCATGCTTCTGCACCCCAGGGTCTGGTTCTGGGGGCAGGAGTGCACACGGCCCACGCTTCTGCACCTTCCCCCTTCCCCAGGGTCTGGTTCTGGGGGCAGATGTGCACACAACCCCATGCTTCTGCACCTTCCCCAGGGTCTGGTTCTGGGGGCAGGTGTGCACGTGACCCCATGCTTCTGCACCTTCCCCAGGGTCTGGTTCTGGGGGCAGGTGTGCACGTGACCCCATGCTTCTGCACCCCAGGGTCTGGTTCTGGGAGCAGGTGTGCACGTGACCCCATGCTTCTGCACCCTCCCCAGGGTCCGGTTCTGGGATCTCCTGCTGCTCATCCCCAATGTGCTCTTCTTCATCTTCCTGCTCTGGAAGCTTCCATTTGCTCGGGCCAAGATCCGCGTCACCTCCAGCCCCATTTTCATCACCTTCTACATCCTGGTGAGTTTGCTCAGCGGCATGGGAGCCAGGGGATCACAGATGTGAACGGTGCAAGGACATTCCCGCGGGCAGTGGAGAGCGGCTCCGGCCGTGGGCCAGCTGTGGCTGGGTTGGGGACTGCGGCTGCGTTACTGCCCTCTTCTGGTCCTAGAGGTCCTAGAGGGGATGCTGAGTGATCTTGAGCTAAAGCCTGGCCTCTTCTCCTTCAGGGAGGGGGAACCCCGCCTCCTGCTGGGCCAGGGCTGGCCTGGTCCCCTCTGATTGGCCCATGTCTGGTCCACATGTGTTCCTGAGCCAGTCATTGGCCAGCGCAGATGAGGGCACTTGGCAGCTAGTCAATGGGGGGTGGGGCACTGTCCCTAGAAGCTAGTGGTGTGACCTGGGAAGGGGAGGGGAGGAGAGGCCAGTGTTAGGCGGGAAACAGGCCCAGTGGGGCCTGAGGGGGCCACAAGTGTGACTTCCATGCCTGTGAGCTGGACCGCCAGAGCCCATGGCTGCTCCCTGTGTCCATCCACTTCCTTGTCCCTTCCTTGTTGTGAAACCCTCTGTTTTGGTCCCCAGTCCTCCCGTCCCCCCCCCCCCCCCCCCCCCGCCCTCTTGTCCTCTCAGCCTCCCATCCTCCCATCGCCGTCCTCCATCCTGGGGCCTCCTGTGGAGGCCTCGCAGCTCCTTCCGGTCTTTCCTAGCTCCACCCTATCCTTGTCTCCAGGTGTGTGTGGTGGCGGTGGTGGGCATGGCCCGGGCCGTGGTGTCCATGACCGTCAGTGCCTCGGACGCGGCCACCGTGGCTGACAAGGTGCGGAGGTAGAGGCCGGCAGCTGCTGGGGGGGCTCGGGCTGGCCTGGGACTGACACCGTCTGCTCTTCCCAGGTCCTCTGGGAGATCACCCGCTTCTTCCTGCTGGCCATCGAGCTGAGCGTGGTCATTCTGGGCCTGGCGTTTGGTGAGTGTGTGGGGCTGGGGCCTTGTGTGGGGGCTGACCCTGGGCGCGGGAGGCCGGCGGGGCCCGGGGCAAGCCCGGCTGACGCCCGCCCCTCCCAGGTCATTTGGAGAGCAAGTCTAGCATCAAGCGAGTGCTGGCCATCACCACTGTGCTGTCGCTGGCCTATTCTGTCACCCAGGTAAGGCACAGCGGGGTTTCAGCAGACCCCTGGTAGTCGAGGGGGGGGGGGGAGGGGTACAGACCCTGGGTGGCCTGGTCGGAGGTCGGGGAGAGCTGGTGACAGCTCTGTGCTGGCTCCCACAGGGGACGCTGGAGATCCTGTACCCGGACGCCCACCTCTCAGCCGAGGACTTCAACATCTATGGGCACGGGGGACGCCAGTTCTGGCTGGTCAGCTCCTGCTTCTTCTTCCTGGTGAGTGTGGGGCCCTGGGCTGGGGGGGTGGGGGAGGGGAGGGGTGGCGGGGGGGGGGGGGGGGGGAGGGGACCGCCCTGGCCCACCCTCACACCCTTCCTGCTCTGCAGGTCTACTCTCTGGTGGTGGTCCTCCCAAAGACCCCGCTGAGGGAGCGTGTCTCCCTGCCCTGTGAGTGCCGGGGCACCCAGGGGACCCCGGAGGGAGGGCGGGGAGGAGGAGGCAGAGCCCCGCTCACCCCTTGCACCCACCTGTAGCCCGGCGCAGCTTCTACGTGTATGCAGGGATCCTGGCGCTGCTCAACCTGGTGCAGGGTCTGGGAAGTGCGCTGCTGTGCGCCGACATCACTGAGGGGCTGTGGTACGTGGGGGGGGGAGGCAAGGAGGGGGAGGGGTGCACAGCGGTTTGAGTTTCCCCGCGGGCCCCAAGGCTGCCTGCGCTGACAGCCCGCCCCGCCGCAGCTGCGTGGACGCCACCACCTTCCTCTACTTCAGCTTCTTCGCGCCGCTCATTTACGTGGCCTTCCTCCGTGGGTTCTTCGGGTGAGTCGGGGTCCCTCCCCCCGCGCCCCCCGGCCCCTGGGTGCCTCTGTGAGGCACCTGGTGGCACTGGTGCTCGAGGCTCAGCCGGTGCTAAGGCCCACTGTGTGTGTGTGTGTGTGTGTGTGTGTGTGTGTGTGTGTCTGTCTGTCTGTCTCCTGTGCTACCACACAGAGCCCCCTGGGGTCCGGATGTGGGCGTGGGGCTGGGCATTGGGCACTAGCAGACATTCCCAGGGGTGGGGCTTTGGGACAGGGTGTGGGGGGGTGTGGGCATCGGCCTGGTGGGGTGGGGTGGGGGGTGGGAAGGCAGGGGTTGCCCTGGCTGCTCCCCGCTCAGTGCTGCACCTCAGGTTCTCTGTGGCTTGGGTGTACCCTGCTGTCCCCAAAGGGGCACAGGGCTGGGGCCATGGTGGTAGTCAAGCCCATTCTAGCCGGCGCCCAGAGCCAGGCCTTGGTGAAGGTCAGGACTCAGCCTGGCCCCTCGTTAGGCAGAAGCCCTGCAGACCCATGCTGTCAGCTTTTGGGGTGTTTTTTTGGCCCTGAGGCTTGAACTGTGGGTTCTCTTGCTCAAGGTGCGTGTTCCACAGCTCGAGCCACAGCGCCACTTCCAGCATTTTCAGTAGTCTATTGGAGATGAGTCTCCTGGATTTTCCTGTTTGGGCTGGCGGTGAACCGAGATCCTCAGATCTCAGCCGCCTGAGAAGCTAGCGATCCAGGCGTGCTCCACCGGTGCTCGGCCCCAAAGCAGTGCTTGTTTGGTCCAAGGCCCAGGACGGGGCCTCGGGGTGGGCATGGGAATTGGGGGGCATGTCTCCTGCCCTCCCTCCCTTGGGGACGTTCTCCGAGTCCATCCCCTCCCGCCCGCCCAGGTCGGAGCCCAAGATCCTCTTCTCCTACAAATGCCAAGTGGACGAGGCCGAGGCGCCCGAGGTGCACCTGCCCCAGCCCTACGCCGTGGCGCGCCGCGAGGCCGCGGAGGCCGCGGGGGCCTCGGCCGCCTGCTACTCCAGCACGCAGTTCGACTCGGCCGGCGCGGCCCACCTGGAGGACGTGGCGTCCATGCCCTGCCAGGCGGGCAGCGTGCGCAGCACGGACAGCGAGCGCTGGAGGGCGCTCGACGCCTGAGCCCCGCGCGCGGGCTGGACTGGGCCCCCCCACGAGCGAGCGCCCCCCCCCAGCACCCCCACCGCCGGGCGCCCCCTCCCCCGGCCCCCCCCACCGCCGGGCGCCCCCCCACCGCGCGGGGCCTGCCCGGGCTGGACTGGGCCCCCCCACGAGCGAGCGCCTCCCCCAGCACCCCCTCCCCGGGCGCCCCCTCCCCCAGCACCCCCACCGCCGGGCGCCCCCTCCCCCAGCACCCCCTCCCCGGGCGCCCCCTCCCCCAGCACCCCCTCCCCGGGCGCCCCCCCACCGCGCGGGGGCCTGCCCGGGCTGGACTGGACCCCCCCACGAGCGAGCGCCTCCCCCAGCACCCCCACCGCCGGGCGCCCTCCCCCGGCCCCCCCCCACCGCCGGGCGCCCTCCCCCGGCCCCCCCCCACCGCCGGGCGCCCTCCCCCGGCCCCCCCCCACCGCCGGGCGCCCCCCACCGCCGGGCGCCCTCCCCCGGCCCCCCCCCACCGCCGGGCGCCCCCTCCCCCAGCACCCCCTCCCCGGGCGCCCCCCCACCGCGCGGGGCCTGCCCGGGCTGGACTGGACCCCCCCACGAGCGAGCGCCTCCCCCAGCACCCCCACCGCCGGGCGCCCCCCACCACCGGGCGCCCTCCCCCGCCGGGCGCCCTCCCCCGGCCCCCCCCACCGCCGGGCGCCCTCCCCCGGGCCCCCCTCCCCCGCCGGGCGCCCTCCCCCGCCGGGCGCCCTCCCCCCGGCCCCCCTCCCCCGCCGGGTGCCCTCCCCCGCTGGGCGCCCTCCCCCGCCGGCCTGGCCCCCCCTTCCCCCCATCCCTCCCCCTCCCCCCGCGCGGTGCGGGACCGGACGGGCCGAGCGCCCCATTCCTCCACCTGTTTTTTAATAAAAAGGAAAAGGAGCGGAAGGAGCTGACTTGGAGACGAGCTGGGACCTCCAGACCCCCTAAGTTGCGGGTAAAAGTCCCGGGCCAGGTGGGCCGGGCCGGCGCCAATGACCGGGGCGCCATTCCCCAGCCGAGACGCCCGCGCCTCGGCGCGCATGCGCCCTGGTGACGGGAGCAAGGACCCGGCTGGAGACGGGGCAGCCGCTGAGGAGCATGCGCGCTAGCGGCCTCAGCGAGCCTGGGCATGCGCAGATGCACATCTGGCGCTTACCTCTCACCGGCCAATCGCCCTGCCGGTCGGGTTGAGCCCCAGCGCTTACGCTCAATACCTTTTCTACCCGTTCCTTATGCCTCACGAATCGCTTGCGTCCCGTGCAGGACAAGCGCTTCGAGTGCAGCTGCACGAGGCCTGGTAGGACTTGCGACTTGGCAGAACTGACGTGAACGGGGAGGACTGGGTCCCGGATGCTGACCTGCCCCCGTGGGGATCGCAAGGGCACAGCGGGTCCCGGATGCTGACCTGCCCCCGTGGGGATCGCAAGGGCACAGCGGGTCCCGGATGCTGACCTGCCCCCGTGGGGATCGCAAGGGCACAGCGGGTCCCGGATGCTGACCTGCCCCCGTGGGGATCGCAAGGGCACAGCGGGTCCCGGATGGTCGTCTGAGAAGAAGCGACTCCCGCCCAGCGGGGCCCCAAGACCCAGCACGGACACACGAGGGAAACGCAGGGCCAGGCTTCACACCTCACCTCCCGCTCCCAACTCGCGGGCGACCGCGCCCCACACCCCGCGCCCCACACCCACACCGCGATGATCCGCGCCCCACACCCCGCGCCCCACACCCACACCGCGATGATCCGCGCCCCACGCCCCACACCGCGATGACCCTTGCCCCACACCCACACCGCGATGATCCGCGCCCCACACCCCGCGCCGCGATGATCCGCGCCCCACACCCCGCGCCCCACACCCACACCGCGATGATCCGCGCCCCACGCCCCACACCGCCATGATCCGCGCCCCACGCCCCACACCGCGATGATCCGCGCCCCACACCCCGCGCCCCATGATCCGCGCCCCACACCCCACACCGCCATGATCCGCGCCCCACACCCCGCGCCCCATGATCCGCGCCCCACACCCACACCGCGATGATCCGCGCCCCACACCCCACACCGCGATGATCCGCGCCCCACACCCCGCGCCGCGATGATCCGCGCCCCACACCCACACCGCGATGATCCGCGCCCCACACCCACACCGCGATGATCCGCGCCCCACACCCACACCGCGATGATCTGCGCCCCACACCCCGCGCCGCGATGATCCGCGCCCCACACCCACACCGCGATGATCCGCGCCCCACGCCCCACGCCGCCATGATCCGCGCCCCACGCCGCCATGATCCGCGCCCCACGCCCCACACCGCCATGATCCGCGCCCCACGCCCCACACCGCCATGATCCGCGCCCCACGCCCCGCGCCGCCATGATCCCTGCCCCACGCCCCGCGCCGCCATGATCCGCGCCCCACACCCCACACCGCCATGATCCGCACCCCACACCGCCATGATCCGCACCCCACACCGCCATGATCCGCGCCCCACGCCGCCATGATCCGCGCCCCACGCCGCCATGATCCGCGCCCCACGCCCCACGCCGCCATGATCCGCGCCCCACGCCCCACGCCGCCATGATCCGCGCCCCGCGCCCCACGCCGCCATGATCCGCGCCCCACGGCCCCACGCCGCGATGATCCACGCCCCACGCCGCCATGATCCGCGCCCCACACCCCACGCCGCCATGATCCGCGCCCCGCGCCGCCATGATCCGCGCCCCGCGCCGCCATGATCCGCGCCCCGCGCCGCCATGATCCGCGCCCCACACCCCACACCGCCATGATCCGCGCCCCACACCCCACACCGCCATGATCCGCGCCCCGCGCCCCACGCCGCCATGATCCGCGCCCCACACCCCACACCGCCATGATCCGCGCCCCACACCCCACACCGCCATGATCCGCGCCCCACACCCCACACCGCCATGATCCGCGCCCCACGCCCCACACCGCCATGATCCGCGCCCCGCGCCCCACGCCGCCATGATCCGCGCCCCGCGCCCCACGCCGCCATGATCCGCGCCCCGCGCCCCACGCCGCCATGATCCGCGCCCCGCACCCCACACCGCCATGATCCGCGCCCCACACCCCACACCGCCATGATCCGCGCCCCACACCCCACACCGCCATGATCCGCGCCCCACGCCGCCATGATCCGCGCCCCACGCCCCGCGCCGCCATGATCCGCGCCCTGCGCCACGTGCCCCGCACCACAATGGCCCGAGTCCCGTGCGTCTGTGTGTGGGAGGAGGTGGCTCTCTGTGTCTGTGTGTGTGTGTGGGAGGAGGTGGCTCTCCGTGTCTGTGTCTGTGTGTGGGAGGAGGTGGCTCTCTGTGTCTGTGTCTGTGTGTGGGAGGAGGTGGCTCTCTGTGTCTGTGTCTGTGTGTGGGAGGAGGTGGCTCTCTGTGTCTGTGTCTGTGTCTGTGTGTGGGAGGAGGTGGCTCTCTGTGTCTGTGTCTGTGTCTGTGTCTGTGTCTGTGTCTGTGTCTGTGTGTGGGAGGAGGTGGCTCTCTGTGTCTGTGTCTGTGTCTTTGTGTGTGTGTGGGAGGAGGTGGCTCTCTGTGTCTGTGTCTGTGTGTGGGAGGAGGTGGCTCTCTGTGTCTGTGTCTGTGTCTGTGTCTGTGTGTGTGGGAGGAGGTGGCTCTCTGTGTCTGTGTCTGTGTCTGTGTCTGTGTCTGTGTCTGTGTGTGTGGGAGGAGGTGGCTCTCTGTGTCTGTGTCTGTGTCTGTGTCTGTGTCTGTGGGAGGAGGTGGCTCTCTGTGTCTGTGTCTGTGTCTGTGTCTGTGTCTGTGTCTGTGTCTGTGTCCTGTGTGTGGGAGGAGGTGGCTCTCTGTGTCTGTGTGTGGGAGGAGGTGGCTCTCTGTGTCTGTGTCTGTGTCTGTGTCTGTGTCTGTGTGTGGGAGGAGGTGGCTCTCTGTGTCTGTGTCTGTGTCTGTGTGTGTGTGTGGGAGGAGGTGGCTCTCTGTGTCTGTGTCTGTGTGTGGGAGGAGGTGGCTCTCTGTGTCTGTGTCTGTGTCTGTGTCTGTGTGTGTGGGAGGAGGTGGCTCTCTGTGTCTGTGTCTGTGTCTGTGTCTGTGTCTGTGTGTGTGTGTGGGAGGAGGTGGCTCTCTGTGTCTGTGTCTGTGTCTGTGTCTGTGTCTGTGTCTGTCTGTGGGAGGAGGTGGCTCTCTGTGTCTGTGTCTGTGTCTGTGTCTGTGTCTGTCTGTGGGAGGAGGTGGCTCTCTGTGTCTGTGTCTGTGTCTGTGTCTGTGTCTGTGTCTGTGTGTGGGAGGAGGTGGCTCTCTGTGTCTGTGTCTGTGTCTGTCTGTGGGAGGAGGTGGCTCTCTGTGGCTGTGGCTGTGTGTGTGTCTGTGTGTGGGAGGAGGTGGCTCTCTGTGTCTGTGTCTGTGTGTGGGAGGAGGTGGCTCTCTGTGTCTGTGTCTGTGTCTGTGTCTGTGTGTGGGAGGAGGTGGCTCTCTGTGTCTGTGTCTGTGTCTGTGTCTGTCTGTGGGAGGAGGTGGCTCTCTGTGTCTGTGTGTGGGAGGAGGTGGCTCTCTGTGTCTGTGTCTGTGTCTGTGTCTGTGTCTGTGTCTGTCTGTGGGAGGAGGTGGCTCTCTGTGTCTGTGTCTGTGTCTGTCTGTGGGAGGAGGTGGCTCTCTGTGGCTGTGTCTGTGTGTGTGTCTGTGTGTGGGAGGAGGTGGCTCTCTGTGTCTGTGTCTGTGTGTGGGAGGAGGTGGCTCTCTGTGTCTGTGTGTGGGAGGAGGTGGCTCTCTGTGTCTGTGTCTGTGTCTGTGTCTGTGTGTGGGAGGAGGTGGCTCTCTGTGTCTGTGTCTGTGTCTGTGTCTGTGTGTGGGAGGAGGTGGCTCTCTGTGTCTGTGTCTGTGTCTGTGTCTGTGTGTGGGAGGAGGTGGCTCTCTGTGTCTGTGTGTGGGAGGAGGTGGCTCTCTGTGTCTGTGTCTGTGTCTGTGTCTGTGTCTGTGTCTGTGTGTGGGAGGAGGTGGCTCTCTGTGTCTGTGTCTGTGTCTGTGTCTGTGTCTGTGTGTGGGAGGAGGTGGCTCTCTGTG